CAACAACAACAACAACAGCGAACAGTGGCAACAACGGACGCACAACAACGCGTCGCAAAACTGCAATAAATATGCTTTGTATTCCACATTCCACTCTCTCCCTAAAGGCCCCGCCCCTGCCCACCCCATCCACCGTCCAGCCCCTAACTGGCAACAAAAGTCCTCCTCCTTCGTGCCGTCGTTCGTTCTTTCCGTTCGCTTGGCTTCACTAAGCTCCAAAGAACTGCAGTTCCTGCTGATTGCCCTGTTCGAAGCTCAACTTAAATGATGTTTCAGCTCATGCTGGAAAAACAATTAAAATCACGGCTGACTTGAGCATAGCCGACTGGGGCGATACTCTACACATGCCAGCCAACTTAAAACTATTAAATTATGTAAATTAAATTCTTGTCGAAATGCGAATAGCCGACTCGACCTATCTCTTAACCCATATATTTACGTGATCTATTTGAGAGCGAAAAGCTAACGTATACCCTGTATGGCAAAGTCTACATATAAAAACTAATGGGTGTGTGGTTAAATATACTGAGTATCCGTTAGTCCTTCACTCTTATCAAGATCACGTGAATTCATCTTAACTTTTATCGTCATGAATTTCTATCGACTTGCTATGGAACGAAAGGTTTTCAAACAGGGTATTTATGTATGGGTTACGACTATTCGACTTGTCGCTTAAGCCGCGCCCTGTTTCCTTTGCACAAGATTAAAGCAAGCTCAAAAATCATTCAATGGTCTTGAACTTATTTGAATAGTTCCTCGATGCTCTCAAACTGTTAATGAAAAATGCATTGTTGCTGACAAACTGTAAATATTGTACATAAAATTGTAAAATACTGTAGATCTATTCTCAAATATATTATATATTAATAATATGTATTTAGTTGTTTATTATCCGAGCAAAGCTAGATTAAGTTGTCACTAAAGTTAGCAGAACTCTAAAAATATACACAAAATAAGGAAAAATAATAATAATAATAATACTCGTGTGTACCCATTGTCCCCTGGGCTATGTACATATACATATACTTTTTGTTATTTATTTCTCGATTAGTTTCATGTTTCCATAGTCTGTTAATGATTTCGTTATATTTGCTATATTAATTAAAAACCATAATTGATTTCTTTTTTTATTTAACATTATTTAGCGGTATTGTAAGTGCGGTTGGATGTAACTAAATACCGTTAGCACTTACCAGCCTAATTGAATAATGAGGTGAAAACAAGCCAGGGGCGTATTTATTTTTAGTTAGTGTTCAGTATACTTGAATGGCTATTACGCTGAGCTCTTTTAGTTCAGGTCATTGAGGTCCATCCTCATACGGGGTATATTATTATCGGAAATAAATGTCGCACTGGTAGAGGGTGTTTTCTTAATAATATACTAACTCTTGATTTTACATATAATCTTGATCTCGTTATGTCATTTTCTTCATTCATATACAATCGAAATGATCTATAATATTGATCTAGTTATATCATTTCGTCCATCCAATATAGCCATGATCATATATAATCTTGACGAAGCTATGTCCTGTTGTCCATTTACTAGACAAGCTAGAATCTTGTAATTTGAACGATTGCCATAAATATTGATAAGTTTTATAGCAAGTTGTTATCGATAACAATCGATAATTTGACTTGACTTTGCTAAAGACATTAACTAAATTAGATCTTGTGTGCAATATATGATATATAGTGATATTTTTCCCCAGCAAGAAGTTAGAGTGCTCTAGTCGAGAGTACCCGACTAGCAGATGCACTGTCAGGAACAACTATGTTTATACTTTATCATTCAGATTATGAAAGGTATTTCAAATACAAGAAACGCGATCTTTAGCTTTCATAGGGCCTAGAGCTCATCTAGCATACAGCTTTAAGCAAAGTTTTAAATCGAGCAAACTTTTAAAGCACATTTAATAGGCCGAATGAATATTTCAGTTTCGCAGGCTTTAAAAAAATAATGAAAATGGGAAACTATTTTAGAATTCACCTATAGAAAGTTTGTGAGATGTGAGCCAGAAATGAATCTGGCGCCTCTGCGAAGACAACGAGTCGCCAGGGCAGCTGTCCAGAAAGTGGGTCAAAAGTGTTTCAAAATTGTAGCGGGCCTGACCTGTCGTAATTAGGGAAAGTAGTGCAAGAAAGGCGGAGAAAGAAGGGCAAACGTGGAAAGGAAAACAGGCGGCAAGTTGGAAAAATAACATTTAGCTGCCTGAATGGCTGGCTGGCTGGCAGTTGGCAGCAGCTGCAATTACAAATGGCCAACTAAATCATAATTATGACAGGAACTGTTGCAGGCAGCACCAGCAATAGCAACAGCAACAGCAACAGCAACAGCATCCACCAGCAGCAGCGACCCATTAACAATCTGAATAATTTGCGCATTATTTATTAGCTGTCGCGAATCGAAAGCTCTGCAACAAAGCCAGGCAAGGCAAACAAACAAATATACATATAATAAATCCCGTTGTGGTCATTAATTGAATTTTACGCCCTAATAAGTTCCCACATCGAACTAGATGCTGGCGCTGGCGGCTGGACGAGGGGGCGTGGGCGTGGCCGGTGATTGCATGGCCAGCAAATATTTGTGTATGCGAGGGTCAAAGCAAATCTACATTGAAAATGCATTTCATAATTTTATTATGCTGTGCAAACAAGTGCATGGCTATGCGGGGTATGCACGACCAACAGATGCCCTGCAGCGAATGCTGAAATATGATAAACACTGTTAAATATAAATAATATATAAATAGAGCTGGTTTATATATAATTGCTTAAATTTGGATTACTTTGAATCTCCTCAAAGTTTTTTAGAGGGTATTTATAAGGCATATATTGGACTTGTTGAGTCTTTAAAAGTCGTGCAAATAAATAAATACTTTAACTATAGAATTTAGCCAGCTTTATCCAAAGACTTATGCAAAGACTTTTCATCTGACTAAAGACAGATCCTCTCACTAAAGGCAGGGTATTCGCCAGTCAATCACTGTGCACACGCCTCAGTTACCATTAAATAACTTTTGTTTTTATGCTGCCATTGACATGAAAGTTTGAAGAGGCTCAGTTTGAGATAAATTTAAACAACCAGCAAAGCTGAAAGTTAAATAATTATGTGAAGTCTTGTTAAACTCAAATTTTCTTTTCAATTTGATGTGTGCTAACTTCAGAGTCAGTTCCAAGTTCGTTGACAGCCTCAATAACCAGCCGATTGTTTATGGGTAATATTGAGAGAGTTATAGTCATAGCCTATACAACTTTCCGCTAGAGTAAAGCTATGTCAACATGAAAATCCCTTCAACTATTCGAAACGGGACATTTGGGAGAGCTGGGCGAGTGTAGTTTTTCGTTTGCCACACGGAATTCGAGTGTCGCTTGAATAATTAATGCGCTCGGCGCCGGTGATTAAATATTTAGTTTAATAAACAATTTAATTAGTTTAATGAAAAAAGTTTTGTAAAGCAAATTTTGCGGTTTGCGGCATTTTAATCGATACGCGGTCTCCGCTATAACGTTGCGGGCGCCAGGGGGTGGGACGCCACAGGATCGAGTTTCGTTCGAGGTGAACTCTACACAGCCAGCCCTGACTGACAGACTGTTAGCCACTTAATTAACATTAAGCCTTTGTTGGATGAGTTGTGTCAGCCACCGCACCGTCACTACGCCACTACGCCACTACGCTACTCCGCCGTTGCGCCCTTCCCCCTCCGTGCCTCCTTTCATCACCTTTTGCTTGGTGTCCTCCACGTTTAGTTGAGAGCTGGAAATTGTTTTCATTACGAAAGGCAAAGGAGCTGTCGCTGCCGCTGCCAATGTGGCTGATGTGACACTCGCTTATGCCACGCCCACGCAGCGAAGCGCCCAGTTGATACACACACACACACACACACACACACACACACACACGCACACACGTGGAGCTCAACAAATTTACATTAGCATGGCGAAGGAGCACAAAGCGAATGCTAAAGTGAACGCGTTTGCGGATACGGTTGCGGATGCGGATGTGGATGCCAGCTGCATGTGGGCGTGGCTAGGTATCGCCGCGCAGCCCATAAACAAAAACTCATTAACCCAATTTCAATATTAAACGCAATGCAAGCGCAGCCAAGCCAGAGGCTAAAGCACAGATACATAGCTGCGGATGCAGATGCGGATGCGGATGTGAATGCGGATGCGAATGCTGATGTGAATGCAGATGAAAAGACGGATATTGCTGGTAGGCCACACGAATCGATGCGTTCATTTGCATTGCTTTTGCTCCCCTCTCTTCGTCTACCAAACTTACTTTTTGGCTCTCCTTGCCTCACTTTTGAATTTAATTATAGGCTGGCCAAATGGGAGCAATTGCAAAATTGATATCAATAAAACAAAACGATATATGTGGATATTGCTTTGCTCCCAGTTTCGCCTTAAAGTGCTATCTATGCCGTCATTAAAGCACATCATTCAAGTGACATCCAATCAATGATTCAAGCCGCAGGTTTCATATTGAATGATTCGGCTCAAAGCTGGCCTCGAGCTCATGTTCAGGTGTGAGCTAAGCACTTCACAGAGGCGCCAGGGAAAATAAACGAAGGCGGTCAAATTGGATGTCAGCCTAGGCCAATTAATGAGCTGTTATCCTCAGCTGACTGAGATGAGATCGAATTTCTGCAGCGTTGCAGCGCATGCTGCTGAAAAGTTTAGTCAGAGCTTCGATAATTTTTATTCAAACCTAAGATAGCTCTTCATCAACAGCTAAATGTTATCGATAGCTCGCTTAGTTGCCGTCAAATTGTTATCGAATATAGTATTACTCTTGCTGGATCACTCGATGAAACGATATATGATTCATCACTCTGAGAGTTGAGTTGAGACCATTGGGTCTATCGAAAGCGTTACGAGTCTATTGCGTATCCTCACATTTTTATGGGATATGAACTCAGCTATAAATATATACACACCGTTATAAGATATATACACTAAAAGCAAAAAATTTAGAACATTCATTGGGTGGACTGCTAATCGGCGCGCAGCTTAATGGTACTGGACTTCATGCCTTCGCTGGTGACGCTCAGGAGCTCGCCCATATCGCCCGAATATATATCCCGATCGGAGGCAATATACAAGCACTTACGTGCCATCCTCACGGCCATTGTCATGGTTAAGTCTTCATCCTTCAGTGGAGGCGTGAGCCGGTTGTTCTCCCAGCCGTAAAAGACGTCCAAGCAGGGCAGCAGCAAAGCGTACGAGGTGCCAACCACACGATAACGGACGCGCTCATAGGATCCAATGGGATCGTAGTAGTAAACGGCGCCTTTGCCCTTACTGTCCAAGCCAGCGAGGATGGTGCACGTGTAGTAGGGAGAGAAGCGGTGGTCGTACATCATCATGGATATCAGGTGGGCCAGGGATTCGGTCGAGATGGTCTTCTTGTGTTCCAGCTCGTACAGCTGGATGCGCATCTCGAGCTGACCTTTCAACGCGATGACGTCGCACCACGCTCCCGAGGATGCAAACACCGCCGTTGGCGTCATCTTGAACAATTTGGTCTGCTCCCGCGACAGGATGTAGTTGTCGCTACTCAATCGAGTGTCGCCAGCCAGCAAAACGAAATCACCACCAGCTAGTGCCATCACAGTGCCCCCATTCATCTCGTAATTGCTGTCATTGTCTGAGCTGCCCAATACGAGATCAGCGGGTTTGTGCTTATCAGGTGAATCACAGTCAATATCTCCGAACACCGAACGATTAAAACTCTTGTAAAAATCATCCATTTTGCGTTATAAATTAAAATATGTTTCGAAAAAATAAATCACACGTGAGATGACAATTTGAACTGTTTTTCCTAGTGAAATGATATTCGTAATGCCTACTAGAGCAAATTTGTTTTCAATTTGGTTTGAAAATGTCAATATTATTGTCATTGTCATTGTCATTGTCACTGTCATTGTCATTGGCATTGTCATTGTCATTGTCATTTTCATTTTCATTGTCATTGTCATTGCCATTGTCATTGTCATTGTCATTGTCATTGTCATTGTCATTGTCATTGTCATTGTCATTGTCATTGTCATTGTCATTGTCATTGTCATTGTCATTGTCATTGTCATTGTCACTGTCATTGTCATTGTCATTGTCATTGTCATTGTCATTGTCATTGTCATTGTCATTGTCATTGTCATTGTCATTGTTATTGTCATTGTCATTGTCATTGTCATTGTCATTGTCATTGTCATTGTCATTGTCATTGTCATTGTCATTGTCATTGTTATTGTCATTGGCATTGGCATTGTCATTGTCCTTAATTATTTTCATCAGAGGAATGTATCGTATTTCTTTCAGTTCTGTTAAATCCTATTATGGTTACCGTTATTTACATTACTCTTCTCATTACTCACATATTTGTATTTACTGCGTGTCTAATTACCTTCTGACATTTGATTTTTTGCTTTCCTTTTAACGTAATTTATCATTGGCTTGTTTTTCGAGCCATCTTACATGTTTTCCTTTGCCTCGCACGACTCCTTCTGCCTGCTCTTAAATTTCGCCTTGTTCCCTTTTTAGTTTTTTTTTGCTTTTCTTTTCTTTTGCTCTGGTTTGCTTTTGTCTGGTTTATTTTCGGCCTTTGCGCGTTGTCTTCATCACTTTTTCATTCCTTAATTTCCTTTAATTTCCCGCCCCCAGGCCCGTTTAACCCCTTTTTTCGGGCATATTTATTTTAATTTGCCCTCTGCGCTGGCCGCCCGAGGCCCGCAGCTGAAAGTATTAAACTTGTCGCCATTACCATAGCCGGGGCATCTGTTCCGGCCACGGGCCGAGGCCGAGGTAGAGGTACAGGCAGAGGCATGGCCATGACCACGCCCACGTCACGCACTGCTCGGACGGTGTAATAAAGCCAAGCCAAAACTTGCAGATGACGAAGAAAAAGAAGAAGAAAAAAAGAAGAAGAAGCTATAGATGCTAAAGGGCAGCACAAACAAGTCCAAGAGTTGTATTCGTGCGACAGCAGCATACCCTGTAAATTCATTGAGCCATTCACGAGAGCTAACAGATTATGAGTTCTTTGCCAGTTTCTACTAACGTCTGCCTCTAGCCCTTTCAATAGCTCCAGCTCTACTCTACGTTCAGCTCATCTCCACCTCTACACCCCTGTCAGTCACTTTTCAGTTATATTTTTCGCCGTCTCGCCATGTGTCAATATAGCCTTTGCCATTCCATAATGCAGGGTATGTGAGAGTCAACTTTTGCCTGTTTTTAATTGTGATTAATTGCAAAAATTTTTCCGAGTATCGTCTGAGCTGACGCACATAAACCGAATACCACTTACCAACGCCCTCTCTCTCTCTCTCTTTCTCTCTTTTTCTTTCTGTCTCTTTCTCGCTCTGTCGCCGCCCAGCCGATGGCAAGCAGTTCGTCACCTTTTTATAGATTTAATTATGAAAATGTTAATTTGCTTAGCACTTCACGCGTTAGTCGGTCAACTCCGGCCGGGTCCGGCGGCTAGACTCGTGCGGGCGCGCCACCTGGCGGCCATTTGCCGTAGCCAGGCGTCAGCGAATTTTCATGTTTAGTTTTTGCCATCGCGCCATTAATTTTCAATTAACACAACGCCAGCTGCAGACATTGAGGCAGAGTTGGGGCGCGTTTCGATGTGGGCGCTGGGTCTGGGCGCCCGCCACGCCTTTAGTGCGACAGCCGCCTCATTAGTGTGTTAATGTAATGCATAAGCAAAAGGGCGCACCATTATCCAAGACCCACCACCCGGTCTGGACTGGCCTCTATTGCCTTGACGCTTTCTGCAACTGCTGCTGCTGCTGCTCCTGCTGCTCCTGCTGCTCCTGCTGCTGCGTCTGACCTGTTCCCATTCTGTTCCAACTCTTGCTTTGTTGATGCTACGCAAATGCTTTCATTTGCAGCCAATTCCCCACATTTTCCCCGCACACCTGTGCGCCAACTCAGCTGCAGTTCATTTTATTATTTGCCACGTTGCCGTGCTTTGTTCCTGATCTAGAATGCCTGTCCTGTGTAGCGGGCCTAGGTGGGTATATTAGGTTTCTAGCTTATAAATAGCCAGGGATCATGCATCTCCTTTGTCTAGCTTCAGGCATAGCCTCTAAGTAGGTAATCCTCGGCTTCGCTTTTCTGACTTTGCTCCCTGGGCGGTCACAGTTTGACAAGCACCAAGCCAGCGACTTCTGCCGTCGTAATAGAGTATTGAGACAGCCGCGAACAGCCGTCTTGGCTGTTGCTCTTTAAGCCGCATTGTGCCGCTTCATTGTAGTCAGCAGCCAACAATTGAATCTGTTCTGCTTTAACTGGAGGTCAGTTCAACTAGCTTCAACTGCTTGAAGGCGTTCGCAGCACTTAGCTTAAGCGCTTCTAATTGTATTAGGAGCGTGTCCTGTGAACCCAACTGCCCAGTCAGTCAACCACCCACGCAGTCAGCCAGCCACCCACCATCTCGCCGCTTTGGGCACATTGTGCCAAGTGATTTTCATTAGCTGTTATCTGCGCCTGCTGCCAGTGAATGCTTTTTGGCCAACAACTTGGCTGGGTTTGGCTTTCGCGTTGGCTTTGGCTTCGGCTTCGGCTTTCGCTTCAGCTTTGGCTTTGGCTTATAGCTTAATTAAGGCAGCACAAAACGAGTTGAGCCTGGCCTTGAACTGTCCAGGCCTCAAGTGCTGCGGCTGTTGCTGTTATCCTGGCCAGCTGCTGCTGTCAGCCTCAGCCTCAGCCTCAGCCTTAGCCTCAGCCTCGTCATCCTCGTCGTCCTCGTCATGCCTTTCTTATGCCTTTTGCTTTTAGTCTTGATGGGGCTGCGTTACATATTTTGCGGCTGTCGCCTTTGCTTTACGCTTGCTCGTAATGTGCCTTGACGTGGCCCCTTTACTGTTCGTGGCGTTCAGAGCTTTCTCGCCCGTCTTCCAGACATGAACGCACATCATTTGCAATTTTTGCGCGTCTAGCTGCGGCCTTTGCTTTGCAGGTGAATCGCACAGTCACACACACACACACACAGAGAGAACATTCCTGTTGGCGTTGCCAACTTTGTGAATGTTAATTAAGCATCATTTACGCATTGAGGCCGCCATAATTTGCAGTGACAACAATATCAACATCCAACAGCAACAACAACAACAACAACAACACAAAACAATGTTGCGACAAGTTTGACAAGACCCTTGACAACCTCGAAACAGCCGCCGAAAACCTCAGGCAAATATCGCTCAACTCTCGAGGAATGTCCCCCCTCCCCCTCAGTTAGCGCGTCCGCAAATTAACAATTATCATTCCGCGCCACCAAAGATTCGCCCAGAGAACTTGTCCGTCCTTCTAGCCCAGCATTTGACTCGGAATATGTTTAGCTAACTATATGATGTGCAAATTGTTGACAATTGCGATGGCTTCTGGCTGCTGACTAATCATGTCTACTGTCTGCTCTCTGCTGTATCTCGGCGTTTATCTATCTCTGTTTTGTGTATTTTTCTCGTTCCCTTTATTTCTGTCACTTTTTTTATCCACATAAGTCTATAGCTATAATCTCCACAATGTTCTCCGAGTCTGCAGATTAAGCCGAAGGCCCCAGCTGCCAGCGATTAATTTTTAAGTCAGTTTTAATTTTATATTATTGCTAATCCATAATAGATGCAGTATAAAACTTGTATTATGGTAATTCTTTCATTTCATGTCTGATTTAGTAACTGTCAGACTTTCATTACCTATTGCTGGTATTCATACCCTTGCACTTCGAACTTTCGTATTTCGATCCCACAAATTCCGTTGCTATTTGCCTTCAAGTGTTCCTTATTTATAGTTTCTTCAATCATTTGCTTCAATCACTTCCTCTTTTAATAGCTTCTCTCGTCTCTTCTCATTCCATTTTATGCTTTCTTTATCTTGCTTATCTTTTATTTATCACTATAGACATATATTCTCATTTATTTACTATATCCTTACACGTTTCCATCTCATTTAACCTATTTGTTGGCTTCGTATATTTGCTTAGATTTTGTTCCCTCACTTCCTCTGTCTATTTCTGGTTTTCCTTTTTACTCATTTTCGAACTATTAGTCAGTGATAAGTCGACTATTTCTTCACTCTTTCTTCTTATTTATATCTTTACAGTTTCTTTTCCTGTTTTGATCTTATCTAGCCTGTTTTGTCTCTATTTGCCTTTTAGTATTCCTCTTTCAACTTTTCATCAATTGGTTACTCTTCTTTAACCTTTGCACCTATTGATCACTAAATTCTTTCCCTTATATTCGTATGAACAGCTCTCTCAATCCTTTCCAGGTTGACTAACTTTACTTGACTATGATTACAAAATTTCTACGATCCTTTACGATCCCTCTCTCTCTCTCTCTCTCACATCGTCTTCCCCTTCTGTGCCACACTCTACAATCTCTTTATACTCTAGTTATTATATTCAGCTCGAAACATTCTTCAGTGATATTCCCTAAAAATGCATAATCAAACACAGCTCAAGTACATCAACAGATTATCAATACACGGGAATAGTTGCAGAGACTTTGAAGAGATTTGAAGCCCACCATTTCCATTGAATGTTCAGCTCCAAATGAATCGGATTAAAGAGGGGTTGCCATGCGATGCAATACGCTTCTTTCCACTCGAACATAAATCACATTTTGTGTGTGTGTGTGTGTGAGTAGAGCAAATCTTTGTCTAGCTGCAGCCATGCCGCACAGCAGATGCAGCTGTTACAGACTATTTGAAATTGGGTATTAGCTCCCAAAACAGTTATTTAGGGGTATTT